TAAGAGCTGATAAGTCTTTAATACAAAGGCAAATTAAGAAACACTCAAGGAGCCTGTGAAAGGGATGCATGCATCTCCCTCAGCTTCAGCTCGTATCAATAGACATCAGTCACAGGGACACACCTACACTCTTTGGGGGACATTCACCCTTTCCTCTGCCACTCGTTGGCCCATACCTAGCTGCTCACTGCTACAACCCGCTGCCTCAGTTTATCACCCCTTCAGATCTGCCAGCAGAAAAACTTGCATGAGTGCTCCTATATCTGCCTCATCTGGATCAGATAGGCCAATTTAAGCAGCTTAAATAGGAAACACGCTCACCAAACAGACTTTGTCTGAAACGGTTTAGCAAGGCTTCAGATGAGTATCTCCTCTGCAGGAGCAGTTTCCCCCTGTCTGGGGAAAATGAAAAGCAGTTTAGGACAGATTCTTGGTAATTCTCCTTTTCCACAGGCAATTAGATGTGGCAGAGGAAATTTGTCCTTGTGTTACTTCAGGGCATGTTTATCTAACACCGAGGAACTGACTCAGTAAGGAAGTCTGCATTTTTATATTTTGACTTGTACACGTAAAGCCATCTCATAAAAGATTTGTTCATTTCTCATTTGATCAAAATTGCCCCAGGTTCAGATCTTGCTCTAGATCTCAGGCCCCTCCACTGTATAATTATTGACTGACTGAAGACACAGCCAGGTCAAGAGCTTGGCTCACGCTTAAAAAAACATCTGTGACACCAGCGGTAACTCAGCTAGTTACCACCCGTCACGGCTGCTTTGACATGAGAATGAAGTAGTGGCAGGGACCTTTTGGATCATAAATTCCTGCAGGTTTCCATGTCTCATACCCCCATCACAAAGTTATAATTTCCACTCTGAAAGCACTGGCTAATCCTGTTCAAAAAGATGCTCTAGGACCGCATTCTCATAGCCAGAAGCCGTCTCTTATTTCCAGCTCCAGTTACCTAGAGGCTGAGTTTTCTGGTTATAACATGCTAAGCCCATGAAGGGAAGCATTAATCCGCATCCAGAGCCTCTACTAGGTCGGAGATGCCTGGGTGGTGCATATAGCCCCTGTGTTTCATAAGAAGGGAGTATCTCCCTGGGCACGTGCATCAGATTCGTTAGTGAGACTCCAGCAAGGCAACTTTTGCCAGAGCCTAGGGCCATATCACTGCTGGTTGTGACTAATGCCCACACCACACAGATCCCCGAGGAGTTATAACAGCCTAGTTCTTGCTGAGTGTTATCAGCTGTCTCTCTAGACTTATCGACACTACCCTCTCTTATCTGACACGATACAGTGCCCTTGTCCTCATCAGGCTCATGTCCTTTCAACCCACCCCTCTCCCTCTGTAACCCGCAGCATTATCTTCACAATCTGTCTGCATCTTGTCACCCATCTTATCCCTAATCACACACACAAAGCTCTTCTTTTGCCCAAGCCCTGACCCCTTTTACTCAGACTGGTTTTTGGCCCTCAGATAGCCAGCACCAGAAAACAAAACAAGGAGCACCACCACAGAGGATTGAGGCACCTACCATGGTTTTGACATGCTTTTGTGCCTTCCTTACTCTACCTTGTCTTGCATGTTGGCAAGTTTTCCCTTTTACAATAATGCTGTCCCCAACTGCCTATGAGCAAAGCTCTCTGTCCAGAAGTCCTTCCGTGCTGTGTACTCTTCATATGCACCCAGAGGACAAACACACTGGCAAATACACTTTCCAGGCGCTTTACCAGCACCATCCAGCTGTGTTGTTCTGCTTCATCTTGGTACAAACCAGATCATGCTACAGATGAACCCTACCAGTTATAAAGGAAAAAAGGGAGATTGATATTGTTCAACTCCCTTCCTATTTAGTTACTTCATGGAGACATTCTTTTGCTGGATGCTATGATATAAACTTTTATAATAAATACAAGAAAAAGAAAATACATTCTAGGTAAAACCTAGCTCTTGAACATCTAGTAGCCATGGAGATTAAGCTAAACTAAGGAAAAAAATCATTATTTTAAGTTATTTTGACTTGTGATGTTATTTGTATTTCAGGTGTACCTTCCTGTAATCCTGTCATTTTATTTCACATATGTATAATACCTTTACTGATGTTGATCTACACAGCTTCCTTAAAAGGTAAATAGTCTTATTCCTCTCATGAACAGAAGAGACAAGTATGGGATGCAAAGAGGGATGTGTCTTGTCCAGCATTATACAGGAAGGTTGTGGCACCAATTGTTGTAGAACCTAGATTTCCTGCTTGACGTAAAAACAACCGTCTCAGTGTTACTTTGCTTTAGACCATGAACATTTGCTGTGCAGAACCATATTTTTCCTTCATGTGTACCTTTTAATTCTTTCTCTGTACCCTTGCAACTATATTGGAAACTATCATATTTGAAAAGAAAGGAAACATAATGTGATTGAAAAAATGTGTTTTAGATAAACAATCATAGTGTCCTGACTTCTTATCCAAAATTTTATAGTATTTATATTTGGAGATAGGCTGAAAAATTCTTCTTTCTTTTCCTTCTCTCCTTCCTTCTTTCTTTTCTTTCTTTCTTCTTTCCTTTTTCTTTCTCTCTTTTCTTTCTTCCTCCTTCCTCCATCTTTCTTTTTTTTTGCTTTCTTCTTTCTTTCCTTCCTTTTTTCTGTTTTTCTTTTTCTTTTCATTCCTTCTTTCCTTTTCTTCTTTCCCTCTTTCTCTTTCTCTCCCTTAAATCCCCCATATAGAAAGTATTATGAATATTTTAATATAGTAATATGTGACTTTTTAACATAGTAAATATGTGACTTTTTGATGGTACATGCATGAATTCAGGTCACTGTCCTCTCCACTCAGTTACACTATTTGCAGACCTTCTGCAATTAATTGCTCATTTTTTGCAATGATTTGGATTTCCCCTTCAGGTTCACGAAAGAGCCTGTTCTTGACTCGGACATTTTCTTTGGCGGTAAAGACCTCCAAAAAAGAATGCAGAAGGGTCACTAACTTTTAGATTAGACAGTGTATAAAAACAAAACAAAAAAGTAAAACTACAATCCAAAACTGCAGACTGAGTTTCAGTATTCAAATGCACTTACACGACAAGGAAGGAAATCTTTCTCAGCATAGCTTCCTGAAAAAATGCCTAGCATTTTCTTTTTACTTAGTCGAGACTTAGTGACATTACAAAATTGACTTATCTGTACAATGAAAAAAGCAGCTATTCCAAGTGTTGCACTGAGGATAAAATGCATGTTAACAGTAATGCTACCTATCATTATCATTACGTTGTAAACAGAAGATTATTTACCCTGTGAGAAAAGACAAGTCAGAACCAAGCTAAGGTAACCGTTTACATTAAATAAACAAACAGACCAAACGTGAATTGGGCTCGGAGTTTCAAAACAGGGAAAATATCAAAGTTAAGCTAAATCTGAAATAAATTACACTTAAAAAATAAATCTCATTTGTTGACTAATATTTTGCCAGATTCTTTGTGGAGTCCTAAATGCTGAGAAATTTAGCATGCAAATGAGAAATAAGGAGGAGGGAAGTAGGTAGCTGAACAATAGTGGGAAAGGCAATCATAAGTTAATTCAGGATGTGTTCTGCCTAATATTGATGAAGATCTAAAAAGGAGCTCTTTACTCGCAGAGGTAAATCCAAGTTCAAATGGATTCAAATGAAACTCCTCCTAGCTCAAATTCTCATATGCAGATCTCATATGCCCCGCTGAAATAAACAAAGCTTGCTTCAGAAAGTGAAGGAAGTTGCATTTGGTTCCCTGGCTCTATTAGTAATTTTGGTCAGAGTGCCAGCAATGTTTTGTGACGTGCAACATGAATAGGCAGACTCTCCTGTTTGCCATTTCCACAGTGCCTAAAAAGTAAAACATAATGCAACTATAGCATAAAAGTACCAAATATGGAACTGATGACCAAGAGAATACAGTAAGATGTCTGCCATTTCATGCTTCACTTTTATAAGAATACCATTAATTGACTGCACTGTTTTCTGCTCTTCTGTATTAATAGCAAATATTAAAATCAGCAAAGTTACAAAAGAAACCTGTAGAAGAAACTTTGTTTCCTATTTCCATAACTTCTCTGTGGAAGCTCAATTCTACTTGTAACCTGTCAGGTATCTCTGGAGGGATAGACTGAACACGTGCACTACTATTTATTTCAGGGACTGGGAAAGGAATTGAGAACACTGCCACTTGAGGAACTGGGCCAACCATGAATAATCCTCAGTTCAAAGCTGCTTCAGTGGCTCTCAGGAGCGTACGCAGAATTAACTTTTGCAAGATGAGGACCTGGTCCTAGCTATTGCTTCCCCGGAAAGGGTAGAGGAGGAAAGAATAGAAACAGAAAAGCGATGCAGGCAGGGAAGAGACTGAGTAGCGGGCTCTGACTGCTCTCTGGGGGCAGGAAGAGGGCAGCCTCCTGTCTTGCCTTGGTAGTGCCTGGTACTCCACATGACTAGACCGTTTTCTAATGGCTGTAACCAGTCTAGCTTTTCAGGGTCCTAGAATAAGCAACATTTGAGGCAGAACATCGCTGTTTCGGCAGTCTGAGGAGCCTGCAGCCTTAGGAGATGTCGCTGTTCTCTAAGACTAAAATAAGCCTGGCCTCACCACTTAACCAAATTAGTCATTAGGTGAAGCACGTGGCATATTTCAAACATAAACCCACAGAAACAAGCAATCTGGCCAGTCCTGAAAGCCAACAAATGCAGAGGTTGGTGATTTCACAAGAGGAGCGACTTCCTCAGAAGCTGACCTGTTGCTAGACGTGCTCTGTGGTCAGTACCAAAGATGTCTTGCAGATGGGCGTCTGTCCATTCATGTTCCCAGTCAGCCTCGTAGGTTGCAGGCAAAACGCAGATCACTCAGAACTTTACATTTGCACTGAAAAGCAACCAGAGTCAAGGTATGCACTCCAGCGTGACACGTTCAGCTTCCTCCGCAATGCTGTATAAACTGTGTTTTTGTACGCAGTCTATGTTGGTGATATCGGCATGACGATTTACTTTGCTTATGGGTTGACAAAGTTCAGTAGCGTGCAGGAAGCTACAGGCAGCGTGCATGAGCAGGTAGAGCCTCCCTCCCTGTGCATCTGGTGAGAAAAAAAAATTGCATAATGATTCCTTTCCACATCCTCTGCTACATTTTGCAGATCTTGGACACATTTTGGAGTGACTGTCCATGAGATAAGTAGACGAGTTGCAGGAGGTTCTGAATTTGACAGTGGTATGTGTCCTAGCCCGATTGCTGCAAGATGGAAAAATACTTTTGCTGACCAGAGCAGAAGTAATTCTTGCACAATAGCTGCTGCTGGGTACAGTAATGGAGAAAGATAAGATAATTTTGCTAACTGCACTGTACTTCCTACTTGAAAATATTAGGCTTGACTCCTTTGTACAGGGACTACTTTTGTTCTAGTTTTTACAGCTCCACTTATTCACACTGCAAAGCCACTTAGAGATAAGAGTGGTGTAAAGGGATGGTCAGTGTTAGGAAAAGCAGCCTCTCAGTTCCAAATATTATGTCCTTTTCTCGGTAAAGCTGGCAGTGGGCCCTGTGCCCATCCTCACCCAGAGTTTCCAGAAACACCCAGCAGAGGACATTAAAATGTCTCCTGGTTATCTTGCATAATCACATCTTTACTTTAAGCCCAGCGAGAAAAAATTATTTACTGTTAGCTGGGCATGCAGTATATACATCCGGTTTTGTTGAGTCTGTACCAGAAATAACTTAGCAGGACAGTAAATCAGTTGTGCCATTCAACACACCGAATCCCATCCCCGAACGTTTGAACAGAGTCCATCTTGCGGAAGCACAGCTGGAGAAAACAGGGCTTTTCATGTGTCATGCAATCGCTAAAGAGAAAACGTAGACTCTTTTGTTTTACCTCAGAGAAGACTGTAGGGTTTTAAACAGAGATCTGACATCAAACTCCATCCCCACACGGCGACGGGGACTGATGGGGTTACAACTGGTTTCTGTTCCTGACATCCTTCAAAGCGAGTGACTAAAAATACGATGGCGTGCGTGCGTGAGGTGTAATTTAGCAGGATGGTTATGCAGAGCGTTTGAATAGATAACCCAGTTTCAAAGCTTGCGCCTGCTCGTACCCCGCCGCGTACGGGGACAGGCGGCATGAGGGTCCACCAGAGACCCACCTCCCACAAGT